TCCTCCAAGCTGGGACTTGCATATGGCCATGAGAGGACTGTGCCCTCTCATTAGTCCGAGGCTTGAACCTGTCCAAACACTGTAGCCACTCTTCACACAGTGGGAGCTTCCGGAGCTCTGAAGGTCTGGGGAGAGCTTGAAGGAGTCCTATGGGATACCCCCGAACTTTGGACAGCACAAGTGGTTGGCAGGATATTCTGGAGGAAAAAGAAGACAAAGAAAGCATGTCTTAAATGTGTTGAAAGGTTACCTCTCTGTGAGACCCAGAATAGATAGCAGGAAAGGGAAGTGCAGGAGAAATGATTTTTGAGGTCTCTATCTCAGACTGTGAATTTCTAAATTTCTGAACCTTTCCTGAGAGGAAGGAACTCAGAGTAGCTGATTTCTCCGAGTCTGAGAGTATGGCAGCATCTTTCCTGCTCCAAGCCTGGGTGTTCAGATGCAGGTTATGGGAAGGCCATTCAGCCCGCAGAACAAAATAAGAGATACCAGCAAGTCAGTGTGTTTTTCAGTAGTGGCATTATTAGCCTCATGGGCAGAACCAAGTCCAATTTGGTGAGGGCACATTTCTAAAAATTCTGCAAGAGTGGCTGTTATTCACAAGGGAGAAAGGAAGGAGGAAATGAAATGCAGAAACGGGGGTGCCCGGCAGGGTATTCGCTTCCTTCATGTGGCCAGAGCCTCCAGGGCTCCCATTACTTCTCATTTATTTGTTCGTGTCTTATAACGCTGGCTAGGGCCTCCAATACAAATTCTAAATAGAAGTGGTAATGGGGGCACCATGTCTTCTTCCATCAGTAAAGAGAAATGTCTATCATTTCTTTTTGTTGTTGTTCATCCTTGCCCAAGGATATTTTTTCCATTGACTTTCAGGGAGAGTGGAAGAGAGAGGGAAAGACAGAGAGAAACACTGATGTGATAGAAACACATCAATGGGTTGCCTCCTACACAAGCCCCGACCAGGGCCCCGGGCTGGGGAGAAGCCTGCAACCAAGTTACGTGCCCTTGACCCGGAATCGAACCTGGGACCCTTTGGTCCACAGGCCGACACTCTATCCCACTGAGCCAAACCGGCTAGGGCAGTGGTTGGCGAACTCATTAGTCAACAGAGCCAAATATCAACAGTACAACGATTGAAATTTCTTTTGAGAGCCAAATTTTTTAAACTTAAACTATATCGGTAGGTACATTGTTATTAACTTAATTAGGGTACTCCTAAGACTTAGGAAGAGCCACACTCAAGGGGCCAAAGAGCCGCATGTGGGTCTCGAGCCACAGTTCGCCGACCACTGGGCTAGGGCGCTATCATTTCTTCATTAAGTGTGATATTTACGGTTAGGTCTTAATAGATGCACCTCATGAAAGGTCTAGGTCAGGACAAAAGTAGGAAAGAAATCCAGAGTATCCTATTTTGGTTAAATATTTTGCTCTGCAAAGCACAGGGGGGAAATGTGCTAGAGCAGAAGAGCCACCTGAGCGAGCGGCACTGGATTGGAGCCCTTGCTGGGCTGGGCTGATGAAGAGGCTCTGCGAGGGCTTCGGCTGCAGGAGAGCTTCATGCTTTCTGCTGCTAATTGTGCCTGTTCAACAGGAGGAAGCGGACGCTCCTGTCCGCTGAGAGAGGTTGGCGGCAGATCTTTTGAAAGAGTTGCCAAAGGTCCATACCCTGGCCTCAGCAGCCAGTTCAGGCCGTGATTTTGCAAATTAGAGAGTTGTTTACACCGAAACGTCTACAGCTCCTAAGACTGCCAGGGAGGGCCCCCAGCCCAGAAGGAAGGGGAAGTTACTACTGGAACAACACCTAAGAGGTTAAGGAACTCAAAATGCTGATCCTCTTGTTGTATTGTCTAGAGGATTGCTCACACCAGGAAAAAAACAAAACCAAAAAACCCCACAGCAGCTCAAGTCCTGAGCTGTGCCTGGTGAGTCGGCCCCGGAGAGAAGCTCATTCTGGCACCTGCGACCTTTGTTTTATGCCCCTGGATGGCAGAGACCATGCAGGAGGTGAGGACAGAGAGGCCGGCAGAGGGAGGCCCTCCAACACCCCCAGGCTGAAAGCTACTTAAAAGAGAGGGCTTTCATGCCATATCTTAACTAACAGGTTTCTCGCTAGAGACTGTTGGGATCTAACCCTCCCTCTCCCACTCGCCAGATCCGTCCATTTTATCTTAACCTCTCTGAATCTCTTCATATACAAATGGAAATAGCGATGACCTCTTTCAGGGTTGTTACACAAAAATAAATGAGATAAACTGTCACAAAGTCTAGTGCTGAGAAGTAAAATTATCAACACACATAGTGGGCCCATGTCAAAATTCTTATTTTAATTCATTCATGAAAGATTGATAAAGATGTTTGTTGTCATTTTTTTAAGCTGGTTTGAAGAATATTTGAGGATATATAAAGACAGCCAGGAAAGGTGTGTCTAAGTAAGACTCTTAAGTGAGATGTGAGACTCTTAACTTTAAAAAGAGTGATGAAAACCCTAACAGTGAGGGGTTTACCAACTCTACCAGGCTATACAATCATATTACTCCGTCAAGCAGGTAAACTAGCTTTATCCACTGGGACTTGTTAGTCAAATACTAGCATACTGTGTTGACCTTTGACATTTCCCAAAAGTGTCAGATGGTGATTAACAAGTACCCACACTTGCTTCGCAGAGATGAAAGATATAAGCAATCAGCATTTTGTCTTTTTCCAGGCCTGAGGTGTTATTTCTCATTCACACTGACACCCAGCAGAAGCCCAGCACATGTTGGTAGTTTGCCCTCCCTTCTTCAGCCCATTTGATTTTAGGCTGAATTCCCAGGTCAGGAGGCCAGGAGATAGACTGGGATCCCAACAGGATGGTCTGGCTCCCAGGTGGAGGAATGTATGGGACTTCCTTTCCATGGGAATAAGCTCATTTGTTCAGCTGCTAGACACCAATTGCCCAATTCCAGATCCTCCCCCTGCCTTTAGGATTTTTGTCACAACCGTGAGGAACCAGGAGTCAGGAGCCTGGGGTGGAGAACCTTGCTGAAGAAGCAGGATTTCTGACAGGTCATCCTCACAGGTCCCGGAAATCTCGGTGGCCGGATCTGCCTCAATGGGTGAGCCAAGGTCTCCGTTGTGGGCCCAAATGTTGCATGGGGCTTCCTGCTCAACAACTTATTTCTCAACTTCCCACTGCCCTGTTCTTCTTTGGTAGCTGGGGAAACAGGAAACCAAATCACCTTGCTCTGGGCAACAAGCCTGTCTGACTCTGCCCAGTGGTTCCTGTAATGAAAACAGTCCTGTTTGTAAACCGTAGTCTCCACGCCTACCACCTCCCTGAACCTTCCAGTGGTGCCCCCCTCACCTCCACCACTTTCTCTAGGCGGCCAGTGCCAGTGGGGTCACCTCCCCTGCACACCATGAACTCGAGTATCAACTGTTGAGAGCTCGGGGTCAATGCCATTCTTCACAACCAGTGCCCATCACGGACAGTGAAATTCCAAGGGGGCACTCTGTCACCTTCCCCATGGTTTCTGAGTGGGGTTAAAATCAATAGACCCCTTGGCAAACAAAATTTGATAATGATAAGTCTCTCCCTCCCACCTCTCCAGAGGGGGTTCCTCTTCAGCCCAGGCTCCTGGGGTTAGAGCAGCCGTGGGCAAACTACGGCCTGCGGGCTGGATCTGGCCCATTTGAAATGAGTAAAACTATTGAAAAAAACGACCATACCCTTTTATGTAATGATGTTTACTTTGAATTTATATTAGTTCACACAAACACTCCATCCATGCTTTTGTTCCGGCCCTCCGCTTCAGTTTAAGAACCCATTGTGGCCCTCAAGTCAAAAAGTTTGCCCACCCCTGGGTTAGAGGCACACAGCCATCCCCCAGGGTGTTGAAGGGCCCCTGGGGTGCTTAGGCAGAGGCTCAGAGCCTTATGCACACAGAGGGACCCCAAGCCTGGCTTTGTCTCCCCCGGATAGTGCACCCCAGCTTCACTGGGCAGGAGGGGAGGGGAGAGGGGTATGGGCAGCAAGAGAGAAACTGACTGGCCCACCCATCCACCAAACAACAGACCATCATGGAATCACCACACTTTTCATTACTAACGTCCAGCTGGAGGACAAGGGGTCTGGGACCCTCTGGAGAATCTGAGGAAAGCCAGGGAGGAATGTGCTGATGCCCGTACGCAAAATGATGCATCCACTTCCGTTCCACTTAGAGATGTATAATATGCCTCCATCACCAACACCACTGCTCATCACCCCAGTGGGGGCCACAGAACATTTCCCAAGGTGCGGCAAGAAACCCAGTCCTGAGCTGAAATTCCCATTCACCAGGCCTGAGATGTTTCATTGATCACCAGAGCCCTCACCCTACAGGGCAGCGTTTGAATTACCTGTTCTTTGAGTTGAGTTTTATGAACGTACTGGCCTGGCTGCCCATTCCTTTATTTTTTCATTGACTTGGGAGATTGGAAGGCAAGAGAAAAGGAAAGCTTCCAAAATCTGGGCCAGAGGCTATTAGTGTTACTTATCATAGAATTCTAAACACCCACCTCCTGTCACACCACACACAGAATTAATCTCTCTCTCTCTCTCTCTCTCTCACACACACACACACACACACACACTTCTATGCAGTTATTGCCCTAATTTCCCAAGAGTCTCATCTAAGACATTTAGCTGGAAATTAATATTTAGTTGAGAGAACAGTAGTTTTTCTTATATCACCCTGTTTCCACATCACCATTTGGAAGACCATCAGCTCTACAGTGTCATGGGCTTTTTAGAGCCCTAAGTCCTAGAGCCAGTGACTCAGGGCCAGGGCTAGAACAGACTCAGAAATCATTTAGGGCGAAGGCAGAGAGGAAACCAGACACATGGTAAGAACGGAAAGTCCATGAGACATAGGGAGTGGGGGGCAGCAGAAGCTTGGTTTTGTCCCTGTGGGTTTTCCAACCCTCCCCCCTGCCCTAGGAGCCTCCTTCCACAAGAGGAAAGCAAGAGAGGACCAGAGGCCTGAGGTATCAATCACTTTATTAATCTTCAGGGATCAGTCCAGGGGCCCAGCCCCAGGCCAGCAACCCTGCTACTCCTTGTGGATTTCGTCATGGGCGTCCAGGCCAACCTTTATCACCAGCGACAGGTACTCCTGGAAGTTGATTGCACTATCTCGATTGATATCCAGCTCTTTGAACCAGGTCTCTGCATTCTTTTTCTGTCAAAATTGAGGAGAAAGAAGCAGAGTGTAAAGATCAGAGTGGGAGCTGAAGAGTGGCCGTTTACCTGGGGCAGCAGGGGGGCCAGTGGCCCTGGGCATCATCAGAGCCAGGCAAAGAGCCAGGGGACACCCAGCCACACCTCACCTGCAAGAAATGAGGGCACTCGTCCTCCAACAACTTCTTCAGGTCATCCCTGTAGAGGGCGTGGTCGCTCCCTTGCAGCTTGGAGTACTTGTGGTAGATCTCAATGAAGTTGTTCAGGGTGTTCTCCATTTCGGTCAGCATGGTGCCCAAGGATTTGCTTCACCTGGAAGAGGAGCACATGGGTGGGGATGGTGCCTCTGCCCACAGTGGAGTGAAGACTAAGGGGACACTCAGAAGGCTCATAACCCAAGTAATGGCTTTGTCCTGGCCTGCACCATCCAAGTAACCAAACCCAGAGGATGCTAGAGCTGTGATGAGAAGGGGCGGGATGAAACGGATCGGAGTGTGGTAGGGAGTAGGTACACACACACACACACACACACACACACACACAGTGCCTGCCAACTCCATGCCCTCACCCTCTGCCCAAGAAAAGCCCAGTTTAGGAAATGAATATGCCCTCACCTAAAAGTCTCAGAGGACTGGCTCTTTCTTTGTCCCTGTCTCACTCTTCTCCCGAGGAGGTCCAGAGCTTGGTTCACCCCTCCCTGAGCCTTCCCTCCCCTCTCTCAGTGAAGGCTGCCTGCTCCCCCAGCCTCCCCTGGAGAAGCCCGAAGTGTGGGGCCAACCAGGGCAGTCCACTTACCAGGTCTTCCTGAAACAGCGCTGAGAGTTGACAGAAGTGACAGATACTCGGGCTGAGTGGCACTCCCTTTTATAGCGGCTGGGCTTGGCTAGCTGTCCTGTGAGGGCGCGGCAGCTACTCCCTTCCAGGGTTGCTACAGCCTCAGGTTTCCTAACCAGGTGAATGGGGCAATCCCAGCAGCCCGAACATTTCTGAGGGCGGCGGGAGGAAGAGGAAGGCTTTTTTCCGGGCAGTAGTGCCCAACAGGGGAAACCAGGAAGAGACCAGGGTGACCAGGCGCCCCCCCCTCCCCGTCCCCCGCTGTTCCGGTTGCTAATCTCCTACATGTGTCCCGTCTGTCCATCTCTGAATGGAACGGAAGTGGATGCATCGTTTTGCATACGGGCATCAGCACATTCCTCCCTGGCTTTCCTCAGATTCTCCAGAGGGTCCCAGACCCCGAAAAGGTTGAGCCCCTTGTCCTGCGGCTGGACATTAGTAATGGAAGGTGCGGTGATTCCACTATGGTCTGGTGTTTGGTGGGTGGGTGGACTTCGCAGGGACATGCTGCTAAGGGCCAGTCAGTTTCTCTCCTGCTGCCCACACCCCTCTCCCCTCCCCTCCTGCCCAGTGAAGCTGGGGTGCACTGTCCGGGGGAGACAAAGCCAGGCTTGGGGTCCCTCTGTATGCATAAGGCTCTGAGCCTCTGCCTAAGCACCCCAGGGGCCATTCAACACCCTGGGGGATGGCTGTGTGCCTCTAACCCCAGGAGCCTGGGCTGAAGAGGAACCCACTCTGAAGGTGGGGTGGGGAGGGGTACTTTGGAGAAGCCAGAAGTGCTTCCTGCCCAAGAGGAGAAGAGGAGGTGGCCCACTCCCCAGGATTTCAGGAGGAGCAAGCTGCTGCCTAACCCAACAAAATGCACTGAGATTAACTGGCTTCCAACGCTGAAGATTCGTCATGCCATTCCTCTGGCTACAAAGCACTGCACAATCACATAATCTGCTTAGAGTCTCAGAACATGCTTGTCAGGAAGGTGGGGCATGGAACCCACCCAGTACAGATACAGACGCGGAAGCTGAGGGCAGAGAGGCGAAGACCAGATCCTGGAGCTTGGGGCTCCAGGGTCTAATCTGACAAGAACTTGACTCTGCAGGGAAAACCCCAGCTCCCCTCTCCTTCCTTCATACATTCAACAAGGGCCTGGGCCACCAGCGCCTCCTGGGGGAAGTAGATGGAATTAACCTTGGGCTTCAATATGTCAGTAACTTTATTGCTGTGTAACCTGGGCCAACTACTTACCCTCTTTGTGCCTTAGTTACCTCACTTATTCAGTAGAGGTTTAAAATACTTCAAGTAGACCATAATAGGAGAAAATATTTACAGATCATATATCTGACAGGAGTTAATATCCAGAATATCTGAAGAACTCTTATCACCTAGCAACAGCAACAAAACAACAATCTGATTGAAAAACGAGCGAAGGACTTAGACATTTCTCCAAAGAAGATACACAAATGGTCAATAAGCACATGAAAAGATGCTTCACATCACTAGTCATCAGGGAAATGCAAATCAAAGTAAGACAGCACCTCATATCCAACATAACTAGAAAATAACATCAACATAAACAGAAAAGAAAAGCATTGGGGAGGATGTGAAGAAACTGGAACCCTCGTGCAGTGCTGGTGGGAATATGAAATGAGGCTGCCACTGTGGAAAACAGTATGATGGTTTGTCAAAAATTAAAAACATGCCCTGACCATTGTCCCATGCAACAAAAGGTCGCTGGTTTGATTCCCAGTCAAGACACATGCCTTGGTTGCAGGTTCCACCCCGGTCGGGGTGCATATGAGAGGTAACCAATCTATGTTTCTCTCTCACATAGATGTTTCTCTCTCTCTCTCTCTCTCTCTCTCTCTCCAATAAAAACATTTTTTAAAATTAAAAACAGAATTATCATATGATCCAGCAAATCCACTTCTGGTATATATCCAAAATAATTGAAAGCAGGGTTTCAAAAAGACATTTGTACACTCATGAGATGTCCAAATGGTCAAGATGGTCAATTGTATGTTCTGTGTATTTTGCCACAATTAAAAATAAAAAAATTGTAATGTTCCACCTAAAAAGAAATAGAATCTACCATATAGTGTTGTTGTAAATATTAATAACAGATGCAAAATATTTATGGTTTGTAGACTTTTCTTAATATGTACAACATTTCAATAACAAATTTACAAAAAACTGTGTAAAGTGCTTAGAGCAGCGCATAGCAAGCAAGCATCGGGTGAGGGTAGAGCACTTTTGCTGCCCCGTGAATGTGCCTGAAACCCCAGCTGGACTGTGAACCCACGAGGACCCAGACAGGACCATCCACCTCTGCTTCCCCAGCACCCAGCATAGTGCCTGGCACACGCCATAATAGCAACAGTCCTCAATAATAAGAACAAATAATAGCAAAACCATAGCTATTGATTGGGCTTTTTACCAGGTGCCACTTGCTATTGTAAGTGCTTTACTTACATTGATCCACTTCATTCTCACAACAGATTGATAAGGTATGTACTGCCATAATTCCCATTTTACAGATGAGGAAACTGAGGCCCACAGGGAGGCACACATTCAGTGCATCAAATGCCTTAGGTGACTTATGACATGTTGTGGCATCATCTACTTCCTGACACTCCCTGGAATGCCTCTGTGCCCGTCAAGTCCTCCTCATCTTTCCTGATCCAGCCCAGGCACCATCTGGTGGCCACCCCTGTGCCTCCCTGAGCCTCCTTCCACCCCTGTGGACACCGAGTTAACTCTTCTCTCCTCCGTGTTACCGAATCCCATGCATCACAGCCTCTGCCCTGCCACACTATGACCCATCTGTTTATCATCTGTCTTTTCTTGGAGACCTGGGGCCCCTTCCGAGCAGAAAGCACGTCACAACCCCAGGACCTGGTCCATACTAGGTGCTCATTTAATACTTACTTGGGGTAAAAATGAATGCGAAATTGAATGCTTGGTCTATCCCCTACCCAAAGCAGAAGTTCCCTTTATCCCCTCCCAGCCACCTTAACTCACTTCTGGAGCAAGGCAGGAAATAAATCCACCAACCAAATGCAGTCTCACTCCCTTGGCAGGAGGTCAGTCAGCCCCTTCACGGGAAAATAGGACTGTCTCTGACATGCGACATGTTTTCAGCTCAGGCTGGAGCACTTAGTGCTTAGCTATTCCTCAGGTCCTCTCCTTTATGACGTGGTATAACAGCACCTCATGTTTTCAAAGTGTTCTTATGTCCACTATCTCACTTGATAACCCTGTAAAGTGGGTGTTACAGGTACAATGACCCCTCTGTGACAGATGAGGAAATGGAGGCACATGCTCCTTCTTACGGGCATGTGTTCTGCTCTATCTGGGGGCTTAGGTGCCCAAAAGCAGGCGTTAGAACAAGCAAGTTGGCTTTTCCAAGACTCTCCCTAGGACTTGCTCACCTGCCCGGGATGGAGCTCACACTGACCTCTCTCAGTGAGGTGATGAGGGGGCTGATGCAGACGATGCCTTCCCAGACCCTGACCTTCGGGAGGTGCCATTTAAAAATATATTTTTATTGATTTCAGAAAGGAAGGGAGAAGGAGAGAGACAGAAACATCAATGATGAGTGAGAATTATTGATCGGCTGCCTCCTGCATGCCCCCTAGTGGGGATAGAGCCTAGAGCCTGTAACTGGGCACGTGCCCTTGACTGGCATTGAATTGTGACCTCCTGGTTCATAGTCAATGCTTAACAACTGAGCCACCATGGCCAGGCGGGAGATGCCTTTTTTAAAGCCCTCCACCACCGCAAGAATGGTCCCTGTGGGGACAGCTTTCTTCATCCAGAGATTAAGGAAAACAGTCTCCAGATGCAGCGAGGGAGACTCAAGACAGCAGGAGTCCCGAGCTCCTCCCAGGATCCCGTGCTCATCAGGGGAGCATGCTGAGCAGCGAGGCCACAAACTGCCTCCCCCAGAGACGCCCCTCCAGACAGATGGCCTGGGCGGGGGGGGGGGGGGGGTGGGGCGCATGTTGGGGCGAGCCAGAACCAGGCTGAGTTGCCCAGGTAGCAGAGGATGTTGGGAATTGGGCAAGCATATTGGGGGAAAGGCAGAGCCCGCAATCAGACTGTGGGTTGTGGGGCAACCTGGGGGAGCAGAACCTGGCCCTGTTTACAGGAAAGAGCTCCGTCCTGTGTGTGTGTCCCAACAGACCTGCGCCGGCCCGGCCCAGGCTGACGAAACCAGGACCGGCAGGCAGGGCCGTGAGGAAGGGGCCGGAGGAAGGCGAGGAGGACGGGGCTGAGATGCCCCCTTAGTACTCAATGGCCTGTGAAACGCAACTCGGTTCAGATGAAACGGGCAGGAAGCATCCCCCCTGGGCCCGGGGAAGGACGGCCTGCGTCTCTGGACGTGAGGACGAGGCCCACGGGGATTCCAAGCAGGTTCCTGTATTCCTCCCTCCAACACGGACCACCCGCTGTGTGCTGACACTGGCCCGGTGGGAAGGGTGGCCCCTGGCTTGGTGGGGGACAGACAGCAGCCCCACCGTGGTGCAGCAAGACACACACCTCCACAGGGAGTTCAGGCCATCATTCCCTTAAAACTCATTGTTTCC